ACTATAGGAAATGAAAGCCAAAGGAGCCATTATTTATAAACGTTTAAATGAAATAATGGCTCCTAAAACTTCTATTTCCTGTAGTGTACGCAAGGATTTGATTATAATTGCTTTATAAGTCAGTTTTGACGTATATCACCTTTTCTATGACCCTTTAATCAAACTGCTGGTTGTAGAGCGGTGCTTGCGGTAGCCAATCGCTTAGTGATCGCTGTGCGTGTGAATTAGTTGCGCGTATAAGAATGCTTTGTTAGTTTATCCACCTGTCAGCAAAGAACTTAAATAGCAGAAGAATTAGCTGTTCCGCGTATTTGCATTAAAATTAATGGAACATCCGCCCTCCCGCGAGCAGGGTAAAATTTGACCATTTGACTGAGTGGAGAAACCACAGGAAACAAACGAACAAGAGCGGCACTTATATATTTATTATTGTTGTATAGCGCCGCCACGCGGACGGAGTAAATTTGTTCTCCGTGTACCCACAATGCATTTCGAACGGATATTCCACTATTTGGGAAGCTGCTTTATCTTCTGCTATTTGTTATCCTTGGTGCCGCCAGTCTGAACTAGGTGGCTTATCGCAAGCAGGGCTGTGTTTTTATGGTAGGCCTAACTAGGCCTGGCGGATGCCACCGTGTTCAACTCGGGGCTCGATGGGGAGTCTTGCGTTAATTCGGGTAAAATAATGACCAATCAGCATTCAATTACGTGTTCTGTGAGCGAGCGTACGTTTCGAGCGCAATGTTCGAAACACATTTCCTGGTTACGGTTCATTATTAAGCAAATTCTGGCACCTGGCTAATCCCTCTAGTCCGAACGCTCGGCAAAGTTAAGCCGTGCTAAACGTTAAGCCGGGCTTAAATTAACTCAAGCCCGGCTTATCTCCTAGTCTGAACGTAGCCTATTTTGTAGTTAATATAGTTTATTTGGTGTTATTAGGTAGGCCTAACCTCCTGGTAGACATTTGTTTATTAGAGTAAGATATATTGTAAACATTATTATGCAATTTTTAGCTCATAACATTTGTCATTCGTGTTAATTAGTGCCCCATAGAGCGAGATTTGTTAGGTTCACTGTGTGCGTTCATATACCTTGTCCAAGCAATATCCATCGCTTGCTGCAGTAAAATCACCCCAGTTTTTAGCTTTTTGAACACTAGACGCAAACAAATCTAAAGCATTATAATTCTTTTAATCAATGGACCCTAATAAACCAAACAAACTGAACGTTTAATATGAATATAAATAGGAATATTCTAGACCTATTAAGACTCAAGGATCGAAATTGGATTTAGGCCTACGGCCAGAAAGGAGGCTTTTTCTACAAGCACCAGGCCGTAGCCTAGCGTAGATTATGAAATCATCGCACGATTTTTACCTGTCTGCAACGACCAAAAAAGTCAGTGACTGTATTCCCTTGAATGCTATTAGATACGTTTATTTCTTAACCAGCTAACAATATTACGGTCTAAGAACGTTATAATAACGTTACATTTTGGTGATAAAAACCTTATTTTGTAGAACCGGCCATACGTACGTACTCATAACCTAAATTTACAAATTCACAACGTTTTGTGAACGTTATTTTGTGACATACCTAACTACAACGTTCGCGAACGTTGTAAGAACGTTTTGTGTTTGCTGACGCCATAGTATCAAAATAGCATTACAAACAAATTCTTCTAACACAATATATCGTATCCGTAGGGCCTACTGTACTGCTGATGTGTAGTTATAACACGTACTGCAGGAGCACAAATCAGTGTACGCACAGCTAAATGTCAATACGCACGCAGTATACTGATCATATCACTAAGTACAGCAGTTATGTCGAAAAACCATGCACTTTGTGATAATAGCATGAAACTTAGCACACATGTACTATGAACCATAGCGAATATTTTCAGGTAGGGACTCATGTCAACAGCGCCCTCTATCGATCAAATATGGTAAATTTATATTTTTAGCCATATTGAATATAAACATATAAATCAACCTATATAGGGACCTCTATTACATGTACTGAGAACAAGAGGGAAGACATATGTTAATACACTGCCAACCCATATTAAGAGGACACTTTCCGAATGTGCCAACTGGTCAAATCAATACATATGTTTAACAACTATATAACTACAGTAGTCTTAAAATAAGAAGAAAAAAAAATCATTCAAATTTGTATGTTTACATATTTTGAACAATAAACTTTATCAAACAACTAGAATGCTTTTTTTGTTAATAACTAGAGTGGAAATTTAAATATTGTGTTTAAATGAAGTACAGTAACATTATTATGTACTATGCTTTACCACTGGTATATGCATAGTACATTCATTAGTGTACTTCATTTAAATACAATCTTGTAATTTTGACCATTAACAATTGTGATTTCTTTTTTATTGTATTTTCATATGGAATTATCTATACCGTACCGCCTGCACCCTGATTTCTAAGTTGTTACTCCGTTCATGCTATTGTATCTCGTGCTTTCATTAGAAAGCTGAACATTTAAACAATATTATCTTTGTACTCAAATCGGAAAAAAATATCGAAATATACAAGCTTTGTTGTTTTAATTACATATTAATTTGTTGATTTCATATGAATTAGGCCTAATTGTTTTTGAATTGCAAATTATTGTTATTATAATTCAACTGTAACTCATCTTTAGGGCAACTAAAATGGGATCATAAATCTTATCATGATTGAAAGCATGCCAAAAAAACCATATTAAGGGGATAATGTTACGTTTTTTGTTAATGTGTTCTCAGAATAGGGGTAGTCCTATTATATTCAGGGGACACCACAAGGGGGACCGTTTAAACATATTATTAATCTTATTTATATAAGTAAAGAATTTGTAATACACATTTTTCGCAACATAAATCCTATGGCTGAAATATAAATTTAAGTTTTTCACCACTAATGGGCGGCCACTCGGCGGAACATGTCCGTATTCCTGACCCGGTTCCAATCGGTCAGTTCTTAACTTCTAAACCCAAAAACTTGCATGAACTAAAATGATTATTGGTATCACGTAATTCTGGAGTCGCAACCGTAACTGACCTTCAGCTATAACTTCAAAGGGGCTGCTTTCAGCACAGCCAAATATACGTACACTACGTATATTCACTCCCGAGGCGACTCCATGCGTTGCTGCGGCAACGGTACCCGCAACGTGTGTACCATGTCCAAAACAATCCTCTCCCTAAATTTAAAACACATATAAAACATGCATATATTATATTCGTTAAATATAATATCTGTATTGATTGATTTAGTATGATTTTACAGTATATTCCTTTTGAGCGCTCTTTCTCAAATTTGAATTAAATTCAATAAACACGTTACCAAGATTATTCTGGCAGTTTAATTGAAAAGAAGGACTGATTTTTGTTTTCACTCAAATTAAACCATATTAGTTTTAATTATTATAACGCGGACTGAAAATAATTTCAATAAATAGTATTAATAAATGAAAATCATAATTCATCATTCTAATTTTAGAGGCCTGTTATTTTATTATTATTAGGCTTATTATCATCAGCAGTAGACCGATCAACATCATCAATATCATTATCACCATCATCATCAACAACATCATCATACAAAATACAAATACTCTTTAATAGCAATCTGCAAAATACAAATGATAAATTACAAATTGAAGTTTAACAAAAATAGAAATATAAAACTATAAAAATATATAAATATATAAAGATAAATATTATTAATATTAATTATGGTTTATTTATTTATTTACTTTGTTTTATTTTTTTTGGAGGGGGGACCTCGGGAAAGAAACAAACAATACAAAAACTCGTCATATCAACAATAAAAACACGAAAAATATTATATTATAGTTATTATAATTAATTTTTTTTGTAATTATTGCCATCATTAATATTATTATTGTTATTTTTAAAATAATATTATCATTATAATAACAACAAAAACTACACTATTATTATTATTATTATTATGATCATGAAACAAATATAAAAATGATGCAATTTTGATGTCATAGAGGCGTACAGGAATTACAGGTATTCACCATTCCTTGAACGCACCGATAAAAGTAATAACATTCTTTGTTCGTTGGGTGTTAACTTTGGGTAAGGATAACTTATTGTCGCATCTGAGGTTATATGGAGTATTATGAATTTTGGGTAAGAGGTGGTGAAGTCTGTGGGTAGGTGATTTCAGTTTAGTAAAGTATTGTTTGCATAAATGTGTACGCCGCTCTGACATCAAAGGGATCCCAGCAACAGCTCGAGCCCAGTCATAATTCCAAAGCACGTTTTTGAATGCGCTCGGGTTGTAGAGATTGCTCATTTGTGATACACATACCCCAAAGAGGGACGGCATATTCAAGAGCCAGAGGTAAAACACTTAAATAAAAATGAATTTGTCCTGCTACACAGAGACCAGATTTACACAGGCGTTTAAGAAAATATAATCGGGAGTCTCCTTTGTTTATCATTCCATCAACTTGGTTTCATCATCATCATCATTTCATCATCATCATTATTATCATCCATCTTACTGTGCCAGTAACAACTTCGTGCCAGTTCTCTGCTCTGCCGCCAAACTCAACATGTTTAGTATTCACGCCAGAATCGACGACGTAAACTGTTACACCATCCCCATTTCCTTTTAAGATTAAAAAAAAAAATAATTATAAAGTAGTATTTATTAAAATGTTAATGGACACCAAAAAGAGACCAAAAAAGACATTACAGACACAGCTTGAATACACAACTTATTATCATGAGGGAAAAATCCCTTGTGTGAGATTTGATATTAAAATGTTCTTTGTTTTGCTATAAAACAATAAAGTACAATATATTGATAGAACTGGTACTGGTACTAGTAGTGGGTATTTATATTGAGCCTTTTCCTTGCGGTTAAGAGGCGCAATCTAAGCCTCAATAATTCAGGAAAACAGTGGTAGGCATAAAAATCAGTCATTGTTTAGGAAACCATGAATTACAATAGCAGGCCTACAGACTAAAAAAACAAACAAAGAAAGACCAAATAATACAGATTACAGCAATCAAACACAAAAGGAAAATGAAGAAGAGTGACATTAGGCAAACAAGTAAATCTTGAGTGCACGTTTAAAAAGATGAGGATCTGAAATATCTCTAATGTCAGTTTGAAGATTATTCCAAAGTTCAGAAGCATAACAAGGGAATGAAACCCTCCAATTCTCTTGTTGTATTTGGTATAATAATGAAATGTACCGACGAATGTGTAAACAGTAGAATCCAACACTTAAAACAACCAGACCAGATGCTCATTTATACGAAAGGCTATTCATAATTCATAATTTTAAATTTCGGATTACTAATTCGAAGTTTCAAGTAAATAATTCGAAATTTCGGATTACTAATGCAACATTTCAAATTACTAATATTTGGCAGTTTAGATTACAAATTTGAAATTCCGAATTAGTATTCTGCATTAACATATATACTTCTTTTGGCACGAATGGGCTTTCGTACATTTATGATTTTACAAATTCAGAGAGTTTTTGCTGTGCCTCAGTAATACCAGTCGATTGCATACCTGAATATAATTTGATTTATAAATCCCCGGTACAATGAATTATAGAATATTGGACAATGTGTATGCAAATAGTCAACTCAAAATACCTGTATTTGATTAACGATTGTTAGCATGTTGCTTAGAGTATTGTAGGCTTACGAAAATCTAAGAATTGTCGTCTATCAACAGTATGTCGAACATGTTTTTGGCTCAACCAGAGATGGTGCCAGTGGGGGGACAGGGAAGCCATATTTCTCCCATCGTGGAGTGCTGCCCCCTCCCCCACACCCTGTCGGGGAGAAAAACCATGAATATTTCTACATATTGATTAGGGCCTTCGCCTCCTGGACCACTTTCGTAATATTTTGATCGGCGCCAGACTACGACAATTTTGCTCTAGTCAGGGAAATTTCCCCCTCCCCCTTGTATTGGACGTCGGACCCCCAGTTGGGCAAATCCTGTCGCCACCCTTTGCCCCGCCTCTTGGATATTGTTGATAAGGTCCCAAGCCCGTATTCCTGGTCTTTTTCAAATTGGTCAATTGTTTAATTGACACTCTGGAAATGTCCATTGTAAATGGTGCGGTTTCGTGTGCTTAATCAGGAGCTTTGTGTGTACATAAATTAAAGGACGAAACGTTTATTCTCATGTTTTCTTTTTAAAAGGTATATGAGCATAATTATGTATTTTCAACGTTTGTATATAGCAAAAATATAGAGGCGGTTGGAATTAAAATTAAACACTGGCAAATGGTTTATTAAAGCCTGAATTGAACAGAAAATGAATATGAAAAGAACTGAAATGAGAGAGTATAATAGACAGGTTTGATCTAACCTGCCTTACGGTAATCTCACTTTGCATTTCATTTTGTAATTACTTAATTACAAAATGAAATGCTTGATTCAGGTTCTTTGTTATTTATTTTAATGTTAATTATGCCACTTTATCTGCTGTAATTTAGATGAAAGTCTACAAGGACAATATTTTGAATGAATGATCTATGCACACTAGCAACCCCATCACGGTTAAAAAAACTTCACGTATCAGGAAATCATTCGGCCGTATATTTTCTGTAAGCTTCTTACCCGATGGGAAATAGACGCCATCCAGTGGGAGGTTTCGCTGATCAATACGGTCTAAGCCCCAAACTCTGGTGATTGCGGATGGTTTAAATATAGTACTTTTATCCACATACTTCACACCATCCATTCCACGAATCTGCAGTAGGAGAAAAAAAAAGACGTAAATCTAATTCTTAGTAAGATAAATCTAATGAAAATGTCATTACTGTTTTTTTTACTTTGGGGCAACAATTAGGATTTTTAGGGAAATAAAATGAATGTAGATTGTCAGGATATCAAATCGGAGACCACTTATCCTGAGTGGTTTTTTTTTTATCCAAATTAATAAGAATAGTTTTTAACCTTAAAATAAATCTATATGACTATAAAATGAATTAAAAATCCGATCACCTTTTAAGCTTTTATGTAAGCCGTTTGACTTATTTAGATTGTTGGATTGGAATAATAATGAATAGGCATATGTCTACATAAATACTTCAGGAGTAATATCAACATGCCTTCTCTTTCCAGTTCATTATTGTAGAAATAAGTGTCAAGTAAGCATAATAGACATTGTATTAAAATATCAGACCCTGCCTACCATATTTAACTCTTCCTCGTTAAGATCACATACAACTGCTTTTATGCCATTTGAAGGCCCGTTAAGTGTTTTGCTTGGCGCGATACGAATGTTCCTAAATGATCTCATGTTATCTATTTTTTCCTTCATAGCTTCAGGATTCTCGTCATTCTGTTATAAGGGGAAACATGTAAGAAACTGTTAATAGCGCCTATGTACTTTTTGTAAGATTCTTTGAAACTAGGCACAAACTGTAGGGAAAAGTTGTCTAAAATGGGCCCCTTAAGGAAAATGTAATTTATCGCAAACCTTATACTGCCAAAAATTTAATAAATATTAAATATTGTAAAAACGGTAATTAGATTTTAGATATTTTGTAGTAGAATTTTTTTTGAATGGCTACCGACAACATGAAACTGTCAATGGATCGACTTTTAACATCATTCGACTATATTAGTTTTTCCTAACAAATAACAAACACAAAATTTTGGTGGCGGCAGAGACCAGGTGGGGGCCCGTTTTATGTGGAAGGTCAGTTTTAGACACATTTTCCCTTATATTATATGAATGTAACTTACCATACATACAACAATATACGTTTTGCCATCTAATCTGCTACCGTAAAGGGGGGCCTTACCAGTAGTAGCGTCGGATGCAGCGATACTTGTGCACTCCGGTGGCTGTAATGGTCTTAACGGACAGCCTCGGTTGTGCTGCGTCAAAGATAACAGAGACACAGTCCAAAGGGACGCTACTAACAGCTTCATATTATCGGTGTGTTTCCTAAAGTACAATGCTTATAGTTCGAATTGCTTTGGTCATTCGAAGTGCTTTCGTCATTCAATGGTTGGAATGCCTTCATCAACAAAACAGATACATGCTAATTTTAGATCCTCGATCTGCGATTGTTGCATAGTACTGTTAGTTTCGAAGAGCGTCATACATTATTAGAGCCGGTTTCTTAAGGTCTTGTAACAATTTTTACCGTACTCACTCCCACGGACACTACTAAACAATTTGTAACATTATGGGTGTTTTTTTTTTCAAAGCTTATCGTATGTACTCTCAACGGTAATACAAACTAGTCAGACGTTGACAATGCAAAAGCAGTGTCAGAGAGACAAACATATTTTCAATCTTTCTTCATTTTCCTGTATAAATTATTTAGTCCATTTCAAAACCCAAATTGAGCTATTCAGCAAGCTGACCATACATTTTTTTTAATCATTTACTCCTATAACTCAAATTTTGGTCTTTTACATACGTCACCGTCTTTCTTCTATTTGTTAATTTGATAAAGGTCTATGTTTTTTTTTTTAATTTTGATTCAAATCTCTAATATATGTAATAATAATAATATTAATAACGATAATAATAATGATAATAATAATAATAGTAATATGAATAATTATTATTATTATTAAATATATAAATAATAATCATTTAATAAGCGACAATATTACTAAACCAAAGTAAAAATCAAAGGCGCTGCGCATGTTTAGATGTTAATAATGTGACTTTTGAATTTGGTCTTAAAAATAGCAAATGAGTCGACAATATGTTTAGGGAGGGATTTCCAAAGTGTGGCAGTTGAAAATAAAAATGATTTTTTTTTTGGCCGTAGGATTTAGTGTTAACTGTTGGAACAAATATCAGATTAAGGTCAGAAGAACGGAGGGAGGACAAGGAGACATATTTAGGAATGAAGTCGAGTAGGTTTGGCTGTTCGAGTCTCTGTGCTTTAAATGTAAGTAGAAGAATTTTATACTCGGGTTCCAATCATCTTTATTCTTTAATTATCACTAGTGCAATTGCCACTCTATACCAACGTTTCTTTCGTATGATTGACTATTAATTGCGCAATACCTTGCGAAAAATATCGTGTCCTATGTGAAAATCCAAGAGTGTATACCATTTGGCCGCATAACTCAGAAGAGTATCCGAACGGTAATCGAAAGGTCATGGGTTCGAATCCCGATGGGGACAAACTTTTTTTTACCTGATATTCATTATCATCTTTATTCTTTAATTATCGCCAGTGGACGGGTCACTGCAAACCAATGTGACTTTCGTGTGATTAACTATTATTCATTGTGCATTAAGCAAAATAAATAAATAAATAAGCGTGTCCTAATGGGAAAATCCAAGGGTGTATACCACTTGGCATCATAACTGTTGGTAGAGTATACGAACGCTAATTGGAAAGTCTTAGGTTCGAATCTTGATGCGGTCATACGTTTTCTCAAATATTTATTATCATCTTTAATCTTTAATGTAATTATCACCAGTGGAGCCGTATCTCCAAACAGTGTTAGGCCTACTCCAAATCATAATAATACAGGTCTGATCTTCCTTCAATTAAAGACCACCTCCAATGAACAATTTTCTGCGGCCCTGAATAAATGCCTTTCTTTTATCATTAGCTGTTTCCTCTCCAATTATAGACTCCCTCTATTTAGAAAGGCCAAAAACCATCGTTTTGGTGGACCAAACTGAAAAGTTTCCTTTCAATTAAAGACCAATATAAATAAATAGTAATATTAATACAGATTTGTCTAAAATAAATTTTCTTATGTCACTTGAACAAAAAAATTACCCAATGCACATCGTAAGATGATATTTTGTGTAAATTGAATAACGAAAATGTTAAATAGTATGATGAGCCGTTCTAGTGTAATACAAATAGAATGCAACAGTACGAATGCAAAAAGTATCACTTTGAGATTAGTTTTGATATTATATTAATATAAGCTTTCTTATACACAGCATAATTCTTAAGGTGAACGATAAGTTTAGAGCATATATACAATACACGTATACACAAAAACAAATAAACAAGCATGCGGATGGAATAAAAAAAAATACAGTAAATGAACCATTCTTTCTAATGGTCGAGCAAGCCAAAATCTCTGTTTAAACCTAAATTAGCAAAATCTAATTGCTTGATAATTTCCCTACGTATCATATTCCTAAAGTTACACTTCTTAACTACAACAACCTCAACCACTAACAGTACCTATGCCATTACTTGCAATATAGGCCATTAAGCTATATTTATAGTTCAGACTGGACAAACGCTTATAAATAATTGCTTCTACTGGTCAATTAATAATCTCAGAAGTGAAGTGTCTTGAGATGTTGATGATGATGTGACCGTTAAGTCTTGGTATGTGGCTGTCAGATTTGATATGAGGACATAGCTCACATTTGATGCTTAGACATGGAAATGTACCATTCATTGATACTGTCAATAATGCGTTGAAATGGTTTAAGTGCTGTATATGCCTACTAGCGGCTAGATGGTTGCTTCTTTTTGTTATTAAGTGGATCGCTGGCTGTAGATGATTGGTCGAGTTGTGTGTTGAGGATGAAAGTTAGATACATGTATACATTGCTATGTGTCAGTGGGTTTCTTGTAAATGGAGTTGGTAATGTTGCAACTACGTACACATACCTATATAAATGTGAATTTTCAGCAAGTACAATTGCCTGTTTTTGCTGCTGCAAATTTGTCCCGGGTACCGATTTTACCAAAAGATCGATACATCCGCACTTTTTCGGATATAGCTGTTACCGTAAATGCTCGAATAAGCGCCGCTCTAGAATAAGCGCCGCACCAAACATGATTTTTTTTAAGCGCGCGCTGCTCTCGAATAAGTGCCGCGGCGGTTAATAGAGAGTATATAATATTACCCTGTGTGTAATGAAACAAGGTTTTAAATTAAATATATACAGTGGAAAAATGAATAAATAACCCAAAGAAGACACAAGTATTTCTTATAAACTTGTGTTTACGGTGATAGGACCTATGATAGGCCTACTGAACTACGAGAAAACGTGAAATAGGTAACATGGAAACGGGCAAGGAAAGCGCCACGCCAATAATTTTCTTTTTATATAAGCGCCGCTCTTGAATAAGCGCTGCACTGAAGCCGCTAAAGGTTTTATAAGCGCCGTGGCGCTTATTCGAGCTTTTACGGTAAATTAAAACAAAACTGAACATTGAAGCTATAGACAAAACTTAAAGCTAAAAAAGATGATGTTGCATCATTTTGTTATATCCTGTGAAAGAGCTTCGAAGAATATCATTTGCGACTTGAGCTTATGGCCGGAGAATACTTTAGTCAGACGTTTTTATGAATTCAAGGAGATGGTGAATGATATCACTATCATCTCTCAGAGTTGTTTCCTTTAACTGTAAATCTTATGCGCGGATGAAGGACATTTATGAATTATGTCAAAGTAATGACATACAGGAGCATTAGCTCTTTAAAGAAGAGCTTGTTTCTCTTACGTCTCTTCACGAGGACTTTGCTGTGTCAGCAATGGATAGTTCCAAAGACCTGTTATGCGGTAGACCTTTTGGTGGAATCGGTATATTTTATAGGAAAACTTTATATAAATGTGTTAAACTGATGCCTTTTAAAATTGAATGTAAACTTATAGCAATCGTTTCAATTGTGTTAAGGATGATGAATATAAACAGAATGTTAATAGTTATATTAATGCAAACATCTCTGATGTCACTGCTATTCTTATATCGGCCGACAAGATTATTGAGTGTATTAAGAAACTTGGTAAGTCTGCTGGCTTAGATAATCTTACAGCAAAACACTTGCGTTTAGCAAGTGATCAGGTTAATTTCTTGCTTATCTTTTATTTTAATGCCATGATATCTCATGGATTTGTAGTAGAGGACATTGTATTACTTGTTCCTATTGCCAAGGCGAAATCGGGTGATATCACTGCTATAAGCAATTATTTCTAAGGTATTTGAAACGATTTTAATTACTATAATTGTTATCATTATAAAAAAAATTGTAAACTACTTTAATTTGTGGACCTCGGAAGCATGTGAAGCTTTAATGTCTCCCTTAATTTGAGAATTTTCCATGGGTACAGTTGGTAGTCCAGACTGACAGACCATGTTGTACAGATAGTTCAATCGCTTTATGTGGGTATGGTAAAAGTTTTTATACAGTTTTAGATTTTAATCGGAAACTGATATTTTTATATTGTTGGTATTATTTAGTAGATTAGGGAAATCCTTATTCTTGTTAAATTGTTTTCTTGTAAAAGATGATTTTGATAACTTTAGTTACATTTTAATGGAAAAAGTACGGGATGTTGAATACCAAGGAATCATTTATTAAGAGTAAATACGCATGCAGTAACTGTACATTCATTCTAAAACATTAAACATAATATTTCCTAATTTCCATTTAAATTCAGAAATCTAAAGACCACAATTATGTCGGTCGTTAATTATAAGGATTCTATTAGACACCAGACAATAATTTTGCCAGATTAAGCCATAGAGCAAAGCAAACTAATAATTTACACTTCACACAATGTACAATGATATTAGTGCATTTTTTTCTTCTTTTTACAGACTACGGATACAGTGCTCTATATTGAATGAGGATATAGCGCTAATAAGACCAAGGAGCAGAATATTACATTATTGTAATATGTGTAATCCCTGACCTAACTAATGTTATCTCTCTACATATTTGCATAGTTTAAAATGATCTTACCAAAATAAAATAATTCTGGACAATCAACCAAAGCATTCATTGACATTATCATGAATACTTACGAACCATATATCATTAAATTATTCTTCAGGTTCAGAGGACCATGTGGCACATGCTCCATTGGTGATCGTGACATCATCTAAACTAATGTCACCAGTAAAATCAATTCCCCTAATTCCTTCAACATCATCTTACAGATACCGGATGTTTTAACTGTGACTTTTCCAAGTATCCAAAAGTTTCCTTAGTTGTTTGTTCTAGTCCACACTGGTGAACCAATATTACCTGAAGAATCGACTACGTACACATTTAAAGTATTCACTGAGTCCCCGTACATGTGGTAGAACCACTCGATGCACAGGCCGTTCGTTGAAGGATATGACGGTGTCCAAAGACGAGCGATGTCATTGCTATTCTGACCTGTAGCTTCGATGTGCAAGTAGTAACCTCCTGCAAACAAGCGAAAGTAAAAATGCACAATTCTTGAGATTCAATTATTTAGATTATATTTTATAAAGAATCATATAATAGTAGGTGGAGCCGTGTCTGTCTGGTAGACGTATAAAATATAAAAAAAAAAACTGGTGGCACTTTATAGACTAACTTCAATTATTTATTATATGACATCCACTTCTTCTACGCAAGGAAAAGCAAACCAACCTCAACAGGAGGCCACTGGTAGTTACATAAAACCCTCATGTTGGACTTATTAATAAACTCCAACTCATTATTGACAGCGATGATAAGCTCACTAATATATTTCCCGAGTAGCCGCTCATAGCCTACCACCAGCCTCGTAACATCAAACGATTACTAGTGTCCAGCAAACTTGACAACAGCGAGGATCAACCAGTTGGAACAAGGCCGTGCAGTAAAGGAGCATGTCAACTTTTGTCATTTCATCGCGACTACATCTGGACTTAACAATGTTAGTTACAAGATCAAAAGCTCCTATAATTGTGATTCTTCTGATGTTATGTGTGCTTTAACCTGCACGATTTGTCCCAATGTTCTATATATGGATGAAACCTGTCAGACCCTTCATAAACCTAAATGGACATAAGTTTGACATCGGACATGGTAAGCCTGGAAAACCGGTCGATGAACATTTAAATTGACCTCATTATAGTGTCAATAACCTGGGAGTATGTGCAATTTTCAACGGAAGTTTAAGAACAATTTTGACCGACTGGCTATGGAACAACGATTCATTGAGAAATTTGGACTCACTAAGGACTCTTAGATTCTTTTCTCACTATAGATCATAATTTTTATCTCATATGCTTCATACTTATATAACTGTATTTCTAACATTTAATGGTCTCATTTTATTGATCACACTTGCCTGATATGTTTAGGCCTTGTTTGCATTCTCTATTTTATACAGTGTTACAAAATTATATTTATATTTAAGTAGCTATATTTTTCCCCGATCATATTCTATTGAGATCCATTCTCTCATGAGTACTATTGACTATATCCATTATTGGTTTGTTTTGTTGTTGTTGTTTTTTTTTTTTGTATTTTAATGCTGTTTGCTCTGATTTGACTTTATATACTATACTGTGCATTCATTATATTGTCTTTATTTATTATTCCTTGCCAATGATGTGAATAATTGTTTTAGGAGCATTCTAGATTCTAGATACAGTACTACCTATATTGTTTTTATACAATAGCCTAGCTTTTTTATATTTCACCTTATCTCTGTGCCACCTCACTACACCTGTGAAAGCTTGTGTAATAAATAATTGAAGTTAGTCCGTAAAGTGCCACCAGTGTTTTCATTTCATAAGGAATCATATATCAAACAGACTGCAAAAGAGACTAAAACATCAAGTAGTTGATTCGTGTGGTCTTTCCGTTAAGTTGTGCTTTGTAGTTTATTTACTTTACATTGTTGTTCTCAGCATTTTCTGCTTCATTTGTACTATCAATTTTACAATTTTAATTAATAAATATATATCTGTAGTATCTCTTTTGTTACCTTTACAAGTTCCGTATGTGTGGTCAAATAAAGGACCCGTATTAGCTGAAGGTGTTGATGCAGATCTTCTTTTCCAATTAAAATCGTCCGTGGTGTCTTGTACGAAGTTACAAATACTAGGATCTTCGAAATCGCACTTGGCAAATGCACATACACAAGAAAAAAAAATAACTGAATAGAGTTGCATTGGTTCAAACCCAAAAACACAGCACAGCGTTTAATTTATCAGACGTTCCTTCGCAATATATTTTAAGTAAAGTGGGGCTGTTTGGTGGTTAAGATGCATTCTTTGCAATCCAAGAACTCTGGATTCAAACCATATCGAGTAACATGATTTCTTTAAAAAATATTTTCTGCCCAATTATGAAACGTGATAAACTCGGCACCTTGTTCTCTGACGATTAGTGCAAAAAGATTTACTACAAACACATAAAATATAATAATGAGCGAACGGTATTTAAAAATGTTCGGTACCAATTTGAGCCTCTCCGAATGTATTTCCTTTTCTTCTTACTTTCTATTTCTTCATTTTATACTTACACATTACATTTGTATAACTTAATTGTTTACATAAAAGATTTTTATTTAAATATGAGCTAACTTTTAACCTAAACCTTTTACAGTAAATACTAACGTAAACTTTATACAAATCTGAAACAACATAATCTGAAATACAAAACTAAACCCTGTTATGCTATATAGTCGATTCGCTTGACCCACTAGTTGTTGCATTTATAGGGGTGTAAACTCTGTTCATATTTACGAGGTAAAGTTTAGCCGAGCGGTAAAGGTACACGTATTATGTGGAATGTTATTCGACCGTATGAAGTTCGAATCTCCCTGTTAGGTTTTTTTTTTGTAAATTATTAATTATTATTATAATTATTAATAACTTTTTATTATTTTGTGGATTTATAGAATACTTTTTACATATTTTATCATTATTCACAATTCCTTTTTTTTAATTTTTTGTTATAAAATTGGGACAGCAAATTGTGAGATATGCGGTTGGAAAATATTTGAAACATTAAAAAAAAAGCATCTAACTTCTCCACTCCATCTACCAACAAGGTCTAGCATCACAGGCCTCGGGTGGCAAGTCCATCAATCAAGCTTGCTCGACGTCCGGACCGCTTCCCGTCCGCCTGCCACAATTTGGTTGATCCGCTTGAGTCGGTCCGCGATCGATCCGTTTGAGTTGGAAAGGCCATATTTTTATTTATTTTTTTTTATATGCAATGTAGATTTCTTGTAGCCAATCAAAACAGGAAGCCCAAGACTACGTGAAAAACTTAATCACTCTGAGAGAAAAATTATTCGCAAATCGAGTATGGATCCTCCTTGTAAGAATGAAGATGATTAGTTCACATAATTTAGTACTATAGATGTATTGTGTGCAATGAAGACGATCTGGTATTGACTATCGACAACAATTAACAAAAACATCATCATCATCAATCATCATCATCATCATCATCATCACTACCACATTTCCCCAGCAGAGCCCATTTTCCAATTCTAGTAAGCAAGTGTAGTGTCATAGTGAGTATTGGCTAGTCTACTACAGTATCACGCTAGCCTATGAGTACAGGTTTAGGTCCACCACTCTGTACCTACTGTATACGCTACACGCAGGCTGTTGCTGTTTTCTGTGCGTGTGGTCTATATTACAAGGGCGTTGGAAGCGGTCCGGCTGGTCCGGTTTTGTCCGGACCAATAATTTACAACTTAATATCGTTTGTAAGCCAAATTCTACTTTCTCTGACGCAGTCAAACATCACTTGCACATTCAAATTTCTTATCAATTCCATAATTATATGAAACGAGATGCTTATTCCTCAATGAATGAATAAATAAAGTGCAAGAAACACGAACGCATTATATAATGCAATATCAATAACAATGACTATAGGTCTATTACATTTATACAAGTTGACGGATGTTGTGAAATACCAAAAAAAAAAAAAAAGATTCTGGATTCAAGAACACTTATTGTCAATTTTAAAATAGGAATCTGTTTTCCTTTGTTTTGTCAATTTTGTAAAATTACATTAAAAATCACACGACAAAACAACTTGGCAA